ATGCGAGTGTGATGTGACTGTGATATGAGTGTGATGTAATGAGGAATGCTGAACGGAATCATGGAATAACAAATGTTTCTGTAATGTTTTAATGTGATCATGGAATAATTATTTTTTGTCAACAGCATACGGTGTAAGTACTAGAGATTCAAAGATAACAAGCTTTATTGAACAGGTGTAAAAGTGAGAGTACTCTGGGATGAGTACTCTGAGAAAAGTACTCTGCGGAAAGTACTCTGAGATGAAATACCTTGCTGAAGATATTGGGAGTCCCTCCCTCTGCTGTTTGTCCTGACAGTGATTCGGTCCAACCGCAGTGAGCTGCCGTTGGTTGAAGGACAACTTTGGTTTGTAAACTCACATTTAGGGGAGTATAAAATTAGAAACATACATTTTGTTAAGTCTGTATTTGGCTGATGTCACACACCGTCTGTCAATGCAGTTATGTTTTGCCCAATTGGAAAAAAGATGGACAAGCGAAAGTGGGCATTTTTTGTGTTTTTTGTGTTCTAATATTTCTTTTTCAGATGAGAGATAAACTACCCCTGCTTCAGGGATGACAGTAGTATGGATCATGAGGAAATGAGCTTCTACTTTGGCACCAAAGCCCACAATATGAATTGAGGACGATCCGGGAGAAAGCAACTGGAGATGAACGGAACAGCAAATCTACACACACACACTAGGTCTCCCTGACCCAGCCTGGCCATTCACTCAGACTGTGGATGAGCGATGTGGGTGCATGGTGTCGGTACTTTTGCAGTCTCACGGAGGGCCACTGAGACCCACTGCTTACTTCTCAGCAAAACTCGATCCCGTGGCAGCAGGGTTGCCCCGCTGCCTGCGGGCTGTGGCTGCCGCTGAGAAAGCGGCCCTAGCATCACGTGACCTTGTGGGATACACTGAACTAACTTTGCTTGTGCCCCATGCTGTTTCCCTGATCCTGCTAGAGCAGAAAACCTCTCACCTTTCTGCGGCTCGTTGGCTGAAATACAACACGGTGCTCTTTGAACTCCCCAATGTCACGGTGAAAAGATGCACACAGCTGAACCCCTCCTCACTGCTGCCACGCCAGAGGAAGGGGAGGCACACTGCTGTATCGCCACAATAGAACAGATATGCACTCCCAGGCCAGACCTGAAAGAGGTACCTCTGACTAATCCTGACTTGATTTTTTATATACAGAAGGATCCGCGTCACGTGACAACACTGGGAAGAACCGAGTCGGCTATGCTGTGTGTTCTGATTTTGATACTATAGACTCTGGTAGTTTGCCCCACCACCATTCAGCACAAACCGCTGAGCTGGTCGCGCTCACCAGGGCTTGTGAGCTGGCAGCGGGCAAAACTGTTAACATATTCTGTGATAAGCGTTATGGTTTCTCTGTGGTGCACGACTGGGGGGCACTGTGGAAACACCGCAATTTAATTCTTAATTCCACACAGGTTGAACATCTGCTGAAAGCTGTAATGTTGCCCTTAGAGATCGCTGTATGCAAATGCCAGGCCCACACTAATGCCACTGACCCCATCTCTGCAGGGAATCGGCGCGCGGACAAGGCAGCGGCATACGCACCTCTACTCACACACACACACTACCTCACTCAAGACGTTGATATTTTCTCCTCTCTGTCAGCAATGCAGGCACCGGCTACTCCAGCAGAGACTGTGCCGTGGGAGGGAAATGGGGCTCAACGACGGCATGGTGTGTGGCTGGGACCAGACCTAAAACCGTGCTTACCACGGCATTTCTTCAGACATTTTGCGATTTTAGCACATGGTCGAGACCATGCCTCAGAAGGAGGGATGTGTAATTTAATTACACAAAATTGGTATACGAAGGGGTTTACGGCATTTGCACAGAGATTCTGCCAAACATGTCTTGGATCAAAGCTCTGCCGCTAGTCCTCATGTACATGCGCATGAGAGTCAGGTCAAGGTCAAACCTAAGCCCATTCGAAATCCTCTTTGCCAGACCACCCAACTTGGGCGCGGGACCCCTGAACAGAGATCTGCCAAGCACCCCTTTGTGTGATGACGACATGCTGTCCTATTGTAAGGAAATTAATGCACTTTTGCCCTCTATTTCTGCCCAGGTCAGGAGCGCCCTGCCACAGGCTGCGCAAGCGGCTCCGCACAAGATCAAGCCAGGCGACTGGGTCCTGGTGAAGGAAACGAGACGACAACATTGGCGGTCCAAGCGCTGGCTAGGCCCATTCCTCGTCCTCCTGGTGACGGACACTGCCGTTACCACTGTCGTGCGGTGCTGCCACTGAGGGCCATAGACGAGGACACCGAGGGTGGGGACGGACCAGGCCCATCCGCGGCTCCCTACGCTGAAGAGGTCGGCCGGCGTGCGACCACCGTCGGTGAAGCAGGCCAACAACAACACCCAGAGAATCCCAGCGTTCCCGAGGCGACCCCCTTTGCCCAACTCCCCTGCCTCCGAATCCCGAGACGACCCCCTGTGGGGCACTAATGTACCCGATGACCACAAATTATGGACCACAGGCCAGAAAATAATGTTAGCATTATTCCCCAGCCTGGGTGTAGGTAAACTAATGCTAAGGACGGAGACCCTGAGCTATAGGTTCTCAGGTTTTGTCAATACCACAGTGGCCATACTTGAATCACAGAGAGTTGAACTTCACGACCTACGTGCTGTTGTTCTTCAGGACCGGTTGGTCCTGGACCACCTGACCGCGTCTGTGGGAGGCGTAGGCACGATCATTGGGTCGTCCTGCTGTACATATATTCCGGCTAATGATGAGGACGGAGGTCTTATCCAACAGGGCATAGCCAATCTGACTAGACTCCGGGACGCCATGCAAGCGGACAATGTCACGGACACTCCTCACGGTCTGGACTGGCTCCTGTCCTCCTGGCGGAGTGTGCTCATTAATCTTGGTTTAGCCCTATTGACTGTTATGATTTTATTTTCATGTGTATTACCATTGGTGTTTCGGGCCGTTGGTAAAATGATATCCACTCACTTTGTGTCCATTCAATACAAAGACCCCGAGGCGGACCTGGCCGCTGTCCCACTGAACTCCGATCCTGATTATATCAGCGATTCGGACGATGACTTTGTCTAACGTTTTTCTTTCTTGTTTACCTTGTTTTTATTTTTCCACTTGTTTCGCCTACAGTTTAGGGGGAGGGTATCACAGTGAAGAGCTTTGACCACACCCTCGTAATACAAGAGGCTTGGGTGACGGCAGCCTAGCCTGCCCGTCAACAACTCTTGTTTTGCTCAGGGGTCAAGGTCAATACTCACCCACCTGAATGTGATCTCTGTAAAACTGGAGTTTCTACATTATCACGGGAGAGGAGTGTGATGGCAATCTGCCTGTGACTCGGGGACGCCAACTCACTCCCCCCTGCTGCTCTATCCAGCTAACCTGCAGGAAGGAGCCAGTCCTTCCCGCACCGCCAGACAATGATGCAAATCACTGTCTCACCCCTGTCCCTTTCGCATCTTGCATCTGTATGCCTGCCTCTCTACATCCTGCATGACCATTGTCTGTCTGTTTGCACCTCCATGCCACTGTCTGATTGCCTCACCACGGGCATGGCGCCTACGCTCCCTATGCGCCTCCTGTACTGGTGGCCCCCTCCCATCTGTTGTGGGCGTGACTGTCTTTATGTGTTGTCTATGTAAACAGGAACCTGAGCTCTGCGCGCCAGAGCTGGTGTATGCTGCCTTTTGTATATGTTAGCTCTCCGCACGTGTGTACAATAAACTTACGCTCCTGAATTAAGACAAAGACCTTTGAGCTTTCTCCTTCATTGGGGTATGTAATTCTACAACAGCAGATATTCTTGAATGTGACTCAAAAATGGAGCATTGTGTTGAACTATTTATTAAAAACCTCCAACGAAGCCGGCTGATTTTTGAGAAGAGGTGGGACGTCTGTGTTTCTTCTGCTGCCCTACAGACCCTCCGGCAAGCCAAGTGGAACACTCCGGACCTGCTCCCTCTGACTGAGGACGTTAGAGCCATGCATGCACATATTGAGGTATGTCGACCTGAATATGTGCAAACCCTAATAAGTGAGCCAACGTCTAAGCATTGGTCTAAACTGGCAGTTTTGACTCTTTGTGAGGTCATTATTTTCAATCAAAGAAGGGAAGGTGAGGTTTCAAAGATTGATATTATTAAAATATGTATTATTTTTTTCCCCTAAAGGCCACTTATTTTCTGTGCTACAGGGAGAGCAGTAGAGATCCTCTCACAAACGGACGGGCTAAAAGAAACTTCAAGCGGAGAACCTTCAACCATTCATCCAGATGCACCCCATGGTAGTGGCAGTGCCCCTTCTGGTAAGTGTACCAGGTGGGGGATTACAGCCAGGCTGCTTGGTCCTAACCCTGGGAGTGTATATTGCTAATATATTTTTATTTCTCTCCCTAGAACGTGTAAGAAAGCCATGGTCTGCATCTGAGGTGAAGGCTGTGGAGAAGACCATGACACCTTTCATACAGACTGGAAAGGTCCCTGGGAAGTCTCACTGCCTGGCCTGCATTAATGCCTCACCAGATGACCTTAGACATCGGACATGGAGTGGCATTCAATTCTATGTCAAAAATAGAATCACTGCAATTCGAAAAAAAAAATCTAAAATAAAATTCCTTTAAAAGAGTTGTTTGTTTTCTATTGACTGTTTTGTATTACTTAAAGTAGTCCCAGTAAAAAAAGATTATGTCTATGGGTCCCATTCTGAGCGGCCCTGTCAAAGGGACCCACCAGGTAACAAAAACGTGTATGCGTGTGTGTGTGTGTGTATGTAAGTGCACATGTGTGTATGCGTGTGTGTATGTAAGTGCACGTGTGTGTGTGTGTGTGTGTGTGTGTGTGAGGATAGATTTGTATGATTGCACTTTTCGTTGCTTGGTGACACTCAGATAGAGATAAGCCAGTTTCCTGAGCTGAACTTCCTGAGATGAACATCGCTCACAAACATCTCATAAAAACTCTGCGTTTGTCGAGTATTCCACAAAATGTCGTGTCACATTTACGAGGGGCCAGACCCCGAAACGAAGACCGTCCGGTTCTCAACAAGACCGCAACAAGACCGAGAGGAGAGAGTGGTAGAGATCCAGCAGAGCGCGGACGGTGGACTGCTGGAACCTCATCAAGGTTAGACCTCTTTTAGACCTCTTTGGACCTGCTTTAGACCTCCTTTAGACCTGCTTTAGACCTGCTGGTTTAGAGTTGCATTGGAGCTAATTTAGACCTGGTTTACTCCTGGTTTAGAGCTGCTTTGGTCCTGGTTTAGACCTGCATTAGTCCTGGTTTAGAACTGCTTTGGTCCTGGTTTAGACCTGCATAAGTCCTGGTTTAGAACTGCTTTGGTCCTGGTTTAGACCTGCATTAGTCCTGGTTTAGAACTGCTTTGGTCCCGGTTTAGACCTGCATTAGTCCTGGTTTAGCTCTGCTTTGGTCCCGGTTTAGACCTGCATTAGTCCTGGTTTAGCTCTGCTTTGGTCCCGGTTTAGACCTGCATTAGTCCTGGTTTAGAGCTGCTTTGGTCCCGGTTTAGACCTGCTTTAGTCCTGGTTTAGAACTGCTTAAGACCTGGTTTGGAGCTGCGTCAGACCTGGTTTAGACTCTGGTGTGTGTCCAGTGGCCCGCAGACCTCAGACCTGGTCCGGTCCAAACCCAGTCTGGTTGATGATCATCGCGTCCGGTCTCTTTCTGCTCTGTGTGATCCAGCTGTTTGCCGTGGTCTCCCGCACCTACCACTGTGAGTGATCCCACTTCTACAACACTTTAACCCTTGTTCTCAAATTGACTCGCAACAATGATTTTAATGCACACACACAAACACAAACACACACACACACACACACACATGTATACTGTATGTGTGTATACCGAACAGGATGAGAGCCTTTTGACTCCAAAACAAACAAGATTTACATGGTTTTCAATGGGAGCAAAACTGAGTCGTCCCATCTCTGCTCATTCGCCTGCTTAGACTGTAACCCCGGCAACAGATTAAGCGGAAGAAAATGAATGATAGGATGGATGGGTTCTGTAACCTTTCCAAGCAGAGTGGCTCTAAGGCCCAATCCCAATATCCACACTGCACTCTACACACCTTTACGAAGTGTGCATTTGTTTGAAGTGCACGCAAGGGTTTGAGTGGCAGGTTACAAGTGTGCAAAAAAAGCGGAATTGGGACAGTGCACACTGAGTACAGGTTACTCAGTCAGGTCTTGACGAGTCATCGACTCGTCAAGAGATGGTCATTTTCAGACCTAAACTTTATAGACATTAAAGGTAATTTTGTCTGACCCTTTGGAAAACAAAATGAGCTGCTCCACACACGTTAAAATAAATGTATATTGGTTATTCGTAATTTGAGATAGCTGTATAATTTTAAGTTAAATGTGGGTAACTAACTGTTATCTGGTCAGTTTTTATACATCCTAAGTTTATTGTACTAAGTGTAAAGTTTAAATGGAATGTTATATGAAAGCTTGCTTTAAAAAGTTATTAAATTGTTAAAACACAATGTCCGTAATTCTTCATCAGACATTTATGCTTCTTTTCAAGTAGCACAGCAAAACTTATTTACACACATACTGCATATATATTTCAAAACTTACACTTAAATGCATTTTCCCGAAGTTTTGGTGTGTACCGCAAAGAATTATGGGCAATATCCTTCGCCAGAGCGCGCATAGATGCAGGCTACGGCGAAGTGTGGATCAGGGGCGCAAAGGGGGCGGGGCTAAAAACCTCCCTGGAGAATTGGGACACCCTACGCACTCGCACCCATCATCAGGAACGCGCGAATGAGGGCCGTGAGGGTGGAAGTGCGAGTATTGGGACTGGGCCTTAGTCACTCCTCAGTGATTGGACACAAAACTGACTTACAATATTTTTATGAAATATAACAAAACAAATGCCATTACTTTTCCCTCAAAGTTTCTTATGAAGAAGATTCAGTTCCTTCTTCCTCCTCTTCATTCATTGTTTGCATGTTATCTGCATTAAAATATGAAAACTCTTAAATCAGACACTGTTTTTTCATCTATGTATCTTGTAAAAAAATAAAAAGATCTCAATAATTGATTTCAAAAGTGAAAGATCCCAATTCCAGACTCCCCAGTTGATCTGACTGTGGAGTAACAGCTGTGGTCTGTGTTTTTCAGATTTTCAAGAGAAAGAAAAACCTCCACCAGGTCAGAGCCTTTATGATCTTCTCTCAAACAGGTTTGTTCCATGTGACCAGGTAAGTGGCTGCTGCTCTGTGGACTGGGTACAGCTCTGACTGCCACCCCCCCGACCCAGACATGGATTAAGGGGAGGAAAATGGATGCATAAATTGATAATAATAATGATGATGTTAATAATAATAACACCATCATGCCTGTTACAAGCATATTTCATTTCTTGTGTACGTTGTCAAACTCATTACAATGAAAAGAAAAGACATGACGTTCAAAACACCAAACTGTCCTCAGGCAAGACACTGCACTGAATAAAAATAAGTCAGAAATTGCTCAAATTTGGCTATTGTATCTCAATTTGAGCACATTTTTAAAATTGTTGCTTCTTCTGACGCTAGATTTTTGCATATTCTCTAAAAGATTTTTGTTTGGGTCGTTTTTTTACATAATTGTGGTCCTCCATGGTTCTTTTATATTATATTTATGGGCGGCAGTAGCTCAGTTGGTAGAGCGTTGGCCTTTGAGCCAGAAGGTCGTGGGTTCAAGCCCCGCTCAAGACTTTCACCATCGACTCCCGCTGACTACTGTCGTTGTGTCCTTGGCAAGACACTAAACCTCTGGGAACACCAGCCACAGTGGGGCGGCTGCGGCTGTAAAGTGCCAAACTGCCGTTGTGTCCTTAGGCAAGACACTTCACCCCCATTGCCTAGAATGAGTCCGGTGTGTATGAATGGTTGGTGGTGGTCGGAGGGGCCGATGGCACAGACTGGTTGCCTCGCTTCTGTCAGTGTGCCCCAGGGCAGCTGTGGCTACAGTAGTAGTTTATCACCACCGTGTATGGAGTGAATGAATAATGACATCTTTGAGTGTCCAAAAAAGCGCTATATAAAACCGATGTATTATTATTATATAACTGTGGTCCTCCATGGTTCTTTTATATAACTGTGGTCCTCCATGGTTCTTTTATATAACTGTGGTCCTCCATGGTTCTTTTACATAACTTTGATCCTCCATGGTTCCAACTCAAAGTTGCTGGTGCAGGGTGGAAGCAGCGGTATTACGTAATAGCACCTATAAAACAAAAATGCAGTTCTCGCAATCTTTTTGTTCCTTATCAAATAATGTATTTCAAGATGGCACATTGACATGGTTAGCACAATAAAAAAGTCAAATCCTTTGACAACAATGTCACATTTGTTAAAGGTGCATTACCTCACATTATTATTGTATTCATCTGGTAAATTCAATCCATATCCATGCAGTGCATTGGGACATACCTCTTTTTGAAGAATAAGTAGCGCTGGTTTTTATTGGAGTGTAATATTATTCTAGATCGAGTTTTCTTGCAACGCAGAAGATAATTTGTTTCGGGACCAGATTGTGACCAATCACAGCGGACCACTGGCCCCCAATTTCTTGAGAAAATCTACAAATCTCTCATTAGCACAGACAGCGGAGGTAAACTAGCATCATGGCGGAGGCTAACCTGAAGCTTCCCGTGTCTTCGTTACCGGTTTCTGCTTACTCAGCGAAACAGCCAAAAGAAAGTCTCGTTCCTCCGCGCTTCCTGGTTCTATCGTTCTATGGTCACACCATCCACGTTCAAATGTGCGATCCATAATGTGAGACGTGAGCTCCGTAAACAACAGCACAGGAGCACAGGCTGAGAGGGAGGGGGGTAGTGGGGGGCGAAAGAACCATGGAGGACCACAGACATGTAAAAGAACCATGGAGGACCAGTTATGTAAAAGAACCATGGAGGACCACAGACATGTAAAAGAACCATGGAGGACCACAGTTATATAAAAGAACAACCCAAACACCAATCTTTTTGAAAAATTATTATTTGAATAGCAGCAAAGTGTCAACATCGCAAACCACACACACCGAAAGACAGCGTTAACACAACAGGAAGTGCATTGTGTAGTTTGTACACAACAGTCTCATACGTGATCAACATGTGACTTTTTTCACTCTGACAATATTGAGAACGAGGCAGAATCTGCAACAGTCTCAGGATGTTCTGACCCGATCCGAGCGCAGTCCAACTACTATGTCACAAGTTTCAACTAAACTTATTCAGGGAAAAAGCCTCAAATAGAACAGACACAGAATCCCCACAAAACTATCGGCATAATTCTTTATCAGCAGCGTGAGTGAATGTTCTGTTTCTTACCATGATGCAGATGTAGCGCTGTGGCTAACGCTAATGCTAATATGAGCTTTTAGCCATGTCCTGCCACGGCTGTGTATATGTCCTGCAGCGGCTGTGTATATCTCCTGCAGTGGCTGTGTATATTTCCTGCAGCGGCTGTGTATACTGTATCTCCTGCAGCGGCTGTGTATATGTCCTGCAGCGGCTGTGTATATGTCCTGCAGCGGCTGTGTATATGTCCTGCAGCTGTGTATATGTCCTGCAGCGGCTGTGTATATCTCCTGCAGCAGCTGTGTATATGTCCTGCAGCGGCTGTGTATATGTCCTGCAGCAGCTGTGTATATCTCCTGCAGCAGCTGTGTATCTATCCTGCAGCAGCTGTGTATATCTCCTGCAGCAGCTGTGTATCTATCCTGCAGCAGCTGTGTATATGTCCTGCAGCGGCTGTGTATATGTCCTGCAGCGGCTGTGTATATGTCCTGCAGCAGCTGTGTATATGTCCTGCTTCTCTGATCATCGTAGTTTTAAGCTCCCGCAGACGTTAATCCTCCATGCGTCTCTTCTCACACCGCGTTTGTAAAACTATATATTATAATAGATCCAATAAAACACGAATGAATGTAATTGGTCAGTTGGGAGGGGGCTATGGACAAAGGAAATCCATCCCAACATTAGGATCTGTCTGTGTTTCCATAGGGTGTCTGTGTCCTGAGCACTGGACTCGTTTTCACTGCAGCTGTTTGTCTGTGTTTCTGGAGAAGAAAACCTGGAACCTGAGCCGCGCTGACTGTGAGCAGAGTGGAGCTGATCTGATCGTAATCGACAGCAGAGAGAAAGAGGTAAAGTGCAAGAACAGCGCCCTCTTTGGAGAGGAGCACACACAGCTCTGGTTTGAATGGTTTTTGGTCCACTACCTCCTCATGAAGAGACATGTGTTGGTTTGAGAGAAGCGAGAGATGTCTGGGCCCTGCACGCCCTGGTCTTTGGAAGTGTGTCCCCCCTGGTGTTAAAGAGAACGTGAAGGCTGTTGCTTCGTCAGTCTGGTCCCTGTGGTCAGAGCATAGTCTGGTCCCTGTGGTCAGAGCATAGTCTGGTCCCTGTGGTCAGGACAGAGTCTGGTCCCTGTGGTCAGGACATAGTCTGATCCCTGTGGTCAGGACAGAGTCGTATTCCTGTGGTCAGAGCATAGTCTGGTCCCTGTGGTCAGGACAGAGTCTGATCCCTGTGGTCAGAGCATAGTCTGGTCCCTGTGGTCAGGACAGAGTCTGATCCCTGTGGTCAGAGCATAGTCTGGTCCCTGTGGTCAGGACAGAGTCTGGTCCCTGTGGTGAGGACAGAGTCTGATCCCTGTGGTCAGAGCATAGTCTGGTCCCGGTGGTCAGAGCATAGTCTGGTCCCTGTGGTGGGGAAAGAGCCTGGTCCCGGTGATGAAGGTCGCTCTTCCAGAGTAACCACGGGCCTCTTGTGTGCATCTGTGATCAGCGTTGTCCTTGTTGCAGCTGTGAGTTTTGGAAATGTTTGTGTAACCACCACATCCCTCTGTTGCGTCTCTGTGGATTTTTGTATGCACTTGTTAAATTAATGGGGCTAATGCCGGCTAATGCATGGGCAAATGCATTTTTAAGCATTTTCCTACCCCACGACCATTTTGAAAATGCTCTGCAGAAGGCGGAAGTGATGGCATTTTCAAGGGCGGAAATTTTCAAGGGCGAAGATAGGCGTGACTACCTCCGTTAATATTTACAGTCTATGGTCCGCAGGCTGTCGAGTTGTGTTTACCTCCTCATGCGTATATTGAGCTGTTTTTAATTTAATAAGCACCAGCATTAGCTTAAGTTACTATGTTTGTTTACTGCAGGGCTTCCTCATCTGTCACTAAAGATATAAAATAACATAGAGGAGTCTCATATTTCATTTTGTTCAGACCAAATAATTACTGGTTGGACGCTAAACTGTTTCTTTGCATTGTTCTGACACTTAATTTCAATCTAATCTAGTTTTGGGCTCATTACCTACAACAGAAAAAATGTATAATATAGCAAGAAGGTCCTGGGTTCGAATCCTGGTCGGAACAGGGTCTTTCTGAGTGGAGTTTGCATGTTCTCCCCATGTCTGCGCAGGTTTCCTCTGGGTGCTCCGGTTTTCCCTACCACTAAAAACATGTACAAACATAAAACCAATTTACCAATATAAACATGTCTGGCATGCGCCTCCTTCACTGGCGTCCTTCTCCCATCTCTGCGAGGAGTAAGAGAAAAATGTCCAAAAACAACAACTGTAAAGCGCTTTGTGTATTGACTCCTGATTCATTTTTATAAAGCATCGAATAAGCACCAGACCGGTTTGGATCGGCTGGGAAGGGTCCAGGAGCTAAATACAAATGTGAATTGGGCTGATTGTGACCCCCCGGCCGCACTTTGTAAAGATCTGCGCTGGAGGGAACATGTCTCTCAGCTGGCCGGGGACGAAGTGTGTGTGGACAGGGAATGGATGGATGACTCAAAGCAGTTGTGAGAAGGTGAATAAGAAGAAAACAGAAATGGTGAAAGCTCTTTTAACTTGGCTGAATCTCTATTTAATGTTTTTTTTATTAATATTTTATTTGGTTTTTCATGTGTTTTCACCCATAACCCCCTCAGTCCAAGACCCCCCCCCCCACACCACACACACACACACACACACACACACACACTTCTTCAATTACATCGACGGTGGTTTGAACAGAAATATTGCATAATTTTTGTGTTTGTGACGACAGGCCAGGGAAGGACTAGACCAGGACTAGACCAGGACTGAACTGGGACTTAGCCATGACAAAACCAGGACTGAGCAGGGACTGGACCAGAACTGCATCAGGACTGGACCAGGACTCAGCCGGTCCTGGAGTCCAGTCCTGGTCCAAGCCCTGGTCCCAGAGTCACTGCCATCAATTAATCCAGTTCATAAAATCATTATTTAGGATAAAATTTCAGATTGTATCAAATTTAAACATATAATACATTTTATTTGAATGTAAAAGTAAAAACATTACGCAGTTGGCTGAACTCTCTGCACGAAGAGCAGAGGCTCTCATCAGAGCTTTAGTTCACACACATAGCCCTTATGTCCTTCTTTGGTGTAGTTCCAGGTTCCGTCCTCCACCATAAAAGCAGCTGATCCTTCTGCTGCATGAGAAGGTAAGACTCCAATTCTCCAGGCCCTGTCAGAAACACACGGCTGAACGACGGCATCATCACAAACACTTTGGGTTCATTAAAGATTGTGACACAAACAAAAGCTTAGTGAAGAAGATTTCACCTGTAACCTGTAACTACCACATCGTTGATCCACGTCCAGGACCCTTTGTGCTTGTACAATCCAATCCACAAATCCTGTTTAGGTTCAGTCCTCAGGTTAATCACAAAGTCCTGCAGGAAAAAAGATATTTACATAATATTACAAAAATACAACTTTACTCACTTTATCAAACACTAGACTGGTCCAAAAATATAATACTCCCTCAACATTGACAGCATCTGGAACATAGTGTTGGGCCAAGAGCCGACTTTTTGATTAGGCCGTAAAGCCGCGGGGAAACACCCCCAACAACCCAGAGTGAGCGCACGTGCTCATGGACCTTTTGGAATCCGGACCTGCCCCCCCCGATGCGGACACTGGACTCACTCTACGCTGACGCTCACGCTACCGGCCCCTACTGGTAAACTCTTCACAAAATCTGCAAAACACTGGATATCTTCTTAGTTGTTAAAGCTGCACTAACTGACTTTAATTTTGTATTCATTACGAAAATGCTATCCATGTCCATGCAGTGCATTGGGATATACGTCCTTTTGAAGAAAAAGTAGCGCAGGTTTGTGCTGGCGTGACATTATATTTTAGATCGAGTTTTGATGAAACAAAGAAGAGATGTGTTTCGGGACGCAGATTGTGACCAATCACAGCGGACCACTAGCCCCCTCTTTTGTGAGAAATCTACAGGTCCGTTAGCATAGACGGCTGAGTTAGCACAAGAAGCGGCGGAGCTAACCTGAAACTTCCTCGTCTTCGTCACAGCGAGACAGCCATCCAAAAGAAAGTCTCGTTCCTCAGCGCTTCACGGTTTTATTGTTCTATGGTCACGCTATCCAAGTGCAAATCCATATCCATGTTTTATCCATATTAGGAGTGTTGTATAATTAGAATGTTGTATACTAATGATTTTCAGTAGGGGTTTGCATACCATGTCTTTGTGCAAATATTAAGGGACTGTAGAGACTAGAGGACACAGGCTGTAGAGACTAGAGGACACAGGCTGTAGAGACTAGAGGACACAGGCTGTAGAGAGACTAGAGGACAGGCTGTAGAGACTAGAGGACACAGGCTGTAGAGACTAGAGGACACAGGCTGTAGAGACTAGAGGACACAGGCTGTAGAGACTAGAGGACACAGGCTGTAGAGACTAGAGGACACAGGCTGTAGAGACTAGAGGACACAGGCTGTAGAGACTAGAGGACACAGGCTGTAGAGACTAGAGGACACAGGCTGTAGAGACTAGAGGACACAGGCTGTAGAGACTAGAGGACACAGGCTGTAGAGACTAGAGGACACAGGCTGTAGAGAGACTAGAGGACACAGGCTGTAGAGACTAGAGGACACAGGCTGTAGAGACTAGAGGACACAGGCTGTAGAGACTAGAGGACACAGGCTGTAGAGACTAGAGGACACAGGCTGTAGAGACTAGAGGACCAGGAGGACTAGAGGACACAGGCTGTAGAGGCTAGAGGACACAGGCTGTAGAGACTAGAGGACACAGGCTGTAGAGACTAGAGGACACAGGCTGTAGAGACTAGAGGACACAGGCTGTAGAGACTAGAGGACACAGGCTGTAGAGACTAGAGGACACAGGCTGTAGAGACTAGAGGACACAGGCTGTAGAGACTAGAGGACACAGGCTGTAGAGACTAGAGGACACAGGCTGTAGAGACTAGAGGACACAGGCTGTAGAGACTAGAGGACACAGGCTGTAGAGACTAGAGGACACAGGCTGTAGAGACTAGAGGACACAGGCTGTAGAGACTAGAGGACACAGGCTGTAGAGACTAGAGGACACAGGCTGTAGAGACTAGAGGACGCAGGCTGTAGAGACTAGAGGACACAGGACTGTAGAGACTAGAGGACACAGGCTGTAGAGACTAGAGGACACAGGCTGTAGTAGAGGCTAGAGAACACAGGCTGTAGAGACTAGAGGACACAGGCTGTAGAGACTAGAGGACACAGGCTGTAGAGACTAGAGGACGCAGGCTGTAGAGGCTAGAGGACGCAGGCTGTAGAGACTAGAGGACGCAGGCTGTAGAGACTAGAGGACACAGGCTGTAGAGGCTAGAGGACACAGGCTGTAGAGACTAGAGGACACAGGCTGTAGAGACTAGAGGACACAGGCTGTAGTAGAGGCTAGAGGACACAGGCTGTAGAGACTAGAGGACACAGGCTGTAGAGACTAGAGGACACAGGCTGTAGAGACTAGAGGACACAGGCTGTAGAGACTAGAGGACACAGGCTGTAGAGGCTAGAGGACATAGGCTGTAGAGACTAGAGGACACAGGCTGTAGAGACTAGAGGACACAGGCTGTGTAGAGGCTAGAGGACACAGGCTGTAGAGGCTAGAGGACACAGGCTGTAGAGACTAGAGGACACAGGCTGTAGAGGCTAGAGGACACAGGCTGTAGAGACTAGAGGACACAGGCTGTAGAGACTAGAGGACACAGGCTGTAGAGACTAGAGGACACAGGCTGTAGAGACTAGAGGACACAGGCTGTAGAGACTAGAGGACACAGGCTGTAGAGACTAGAGGACACAGGCTGTAGAGACTAGAGGACACAGGCTGTAGAGACTAGAGGACACAGGCTGTAGAGACTAGAGGACACAGGCTGTAGAGACTAGAGGACACAGGCTGTAGAGACTAGAGGACACAGGCTGTAGAGACTAGAGGACACAGGCTGTAGAGACTAGAGGACACAGGCTGTAGAGACTAGAGGACACAGGCTGTAGAGACTAGAGGACACAGGCTGTAGAGACTAGAGGACACAGGCTGTAGAGACTAGAGGACACACAAGACACGCTGTAGAGACTAGAGGACACAGGCTGTAGAGACTAGAGGACACAGGCTGTAGAGACTAGAGGACACAGACTGTAGAGACTAGAGGACACAGGCTGTAGAGACTAGAGGACACAGGCTGTAGAGACTAGAGAACACAGGCTGTAGAGACTAGAGGACACAGGCTGTAGAGACTAGAGGACACAGGCTGTAGAGACTAGAGGACACAGGCTGTAGAGGCTAGAGGACGCAGGCTGTAGAGACTAGAGGACACAGGCTGTAGAGACTAGAGGACACAGGCTGTAGAGACTAGAGGACACAGGCTGTAGAGACTAGAGGACACAGGCTGTAGAGACTAGAGGACACAGGCTGTAGAGACTAGAGGACACAGGCTGTAGAGACTAGAGGACGCAGGCTGTAGAGACTAGAGGACACAGGCTGTAGAGGCTAGAGGACGCAGGCTGTAGAGACTAGAGGACACAGACTGTAGAGACTAGAGGACACAGGCTGTAGAGACTAGAGGACACAGGCTGTAGAGACTAGAGGACACAGGCTGTAGACTAGGGACACAGCTGTAGAGACAGGACACAGGCTGTAGAGACTAGAGGACACAGGCTGTAGAGACTAGAGGACACAGGCTGTAGAGACTAGAGGACACAGGCTGTAGAGACTAGAGGACACAGGCTGTAGAGACTAGAGGACACAGGCTGTAGAGACTAGAGGACACAGGCTGTAGAGACTAGAGGACACAGGCTGTAGAGACTAGAGGACACAGGCTGTAGAGACTAGAGGACACAGGCTGTAGAGACTAGAGGACACAGGCTGTAGAGACTAGAGGACACAGGCTGTAGAGACTAGAGGACACAGGCTGTAGAGACTAGAGGACACAGGCTGTAGAGGCTAGAGGACACAGGCTGTAGAGACTAGAGGACACAGGCTGTAGAGGCTAGAGGACACAGGCTGTAGAGACTAGAGGACACAGGCTGTAGAGACTAGAGGACACAGGCTGTAGAGACTAGAGGACACAGGCTGTAGAGACTAGAGGACACAGACTGTAGAGACTAGAGGACACAGGCTGTAGAGACTAGAGGACACAGGCTGTAGAGACTAGAGGACACAGGCTGTAGAGACTAGAGGACACAGGCTGTAGAGACTAGAGGACACAGGCTGTAGAGACTAGAGGACACAGGCTGTGTAGAGACTAGAGGACACAGGCTGTAGAGACTAGAGGACACAGGCTGTAGAGACTAGAGGACACAGGCTGTAGAGACTAGAGGACACAGGCTGTAGAGACTAGAGGACACAGGCTGTAGAGACTAGAGGACACAGGCTGTTCACTGCTCGTTCTGTGAGCGGAGGAGAGCGTCCCGCTCAGACTCTACTCAGCACTTTTCACTGCCTGAATTTCATACACAGTGGAATCAATGACCTTAAGTTTTCAATTAAATTATGTATTATGATACAACTTGTATGTAGTAAAAAGCATTTTTATGAACTACTTAGAAAAAAAATTGGGTATAGCTTCTTTAAGTAAGGTATTACCTCTGGATAAGTCTGCAGAGAGAACATCAGGGTCCAAGTCACTGTGTGGTCACCAAACTCTGCAACATGTTGTCCAGCAATGATGCTTATACCACTGAGCTGTGTCTAAACAAGAGGAACAGAAAAATACACATCATCTTCACCAGCCACACCCAAATTGAGGTCTGGGGCCTATTGGGGCCCTCTCTGTCTTGATATGTAACAATATACACATTTTCAATGTCATCTAGCCAACATCAGCTCTGCCAACATAGGTTAGAAATCATTGTAAGGCTCAGGATCTCTGTAATCATGTTGTTTCTGTGATGAAGAGATGGCTATAATCTCACAAGTCAAATCATTATCACACATGTGCATAGGATGGACTGTGAAATATGAAGAAAAACGTAATATGGAACCTTTAAAACTATGCCTTTGGACTGTGATGATGCTTTGACCTACTTAAGATAATATAAGAATTCCTTTATTTGTCCCACAGTGGGGACGAATACTTCTTTTATTAGCTATTGTAAAACAATGGGACTTATTTCTTTAACAAACAGCCATAAATAAGCTAACCTCAAAAGAGGACTCCCTGATGTCCCGCTGCAGGACTCGACTCTCTGGTTCCTCTCATAGTTTTTCAAACAGTAAATTACTTCTGTCCTCTTAACATTCACAAAACATTTCCCAAGTCATCAAGTTTGAAGCAGTGTTTTGAAGCTCAAATCAAAACTCTCAAGTTAAATCAGTCCTGGTTTAGACAGTGTTGTTGTAACACTGCAGTTCACCTGCATGGCTGTGTACTTACTTACTTACTTGTGGGAGAAATATCCATTCATTTTCTTCCCCAGTCAGAGCTGCACCCAGAGCACCAGCCCCTCACTGATCCTCCTGCAGGTGGAGAGTCCAGAGGAGCAAATTATGAATGATTAAATTATATTAATTCTAATAGACTATTATAGACCTAATACATGCAGGTTATATGATATACCCTATAGTAATAACATACTATCGCCAAAACAGCCCCTTACAGGGGAACACATCTCTTTTAAGCTTTAAGGAACACAGTAGGCCTATTATTTTATTTCTATTAAGAATACAGATGTATATAATTTAATGAAACTAAAACATTTTAATTAACAAGCATTTCCATGCAAATGGAAGGTACTAGTGATTATTATACTATTGTTATTTCATCATCAAGTCACTCACATCCCAGTGGAAGCAGATGTTGGAGGTTATGGACTATGTGGGCTAAATGGGACACTTATAATTTTATGGCATAAGGATTATGCTATGCCCTTTGCCATTAATGGATAATCAAAGCCTATTTGTATGATTTCTGCAAAAAGTGCATCATAATAAATACCTCAAATGTCTCATCTCTATTGTTCTTATAATTGTAGTCTTCGAACTGGCCTTATAAAAGCAATAGGCATTATGTAGTATGCATAAACAGGGCGTTAGCCACTTAGCTCCGCAGCTAATCTAGGATACTTTGTGCTAAACAAACTGTGACCAGCTGTAACTCTTCCCAGTATTGACTCACCACGGCCCTGTCTCTTCTGTGGACAATATAGTTGCTGTAGATTTTCTGAACAAGTGGCTGCAGCACACATTCGCGTTAGCTTTAGCGTTAGCTCTGCTGCTAAACTAGGCTGCTTTGTGCTATGTGGTGACAGTGAAAACTCTCTCCTACCTCCGTGCGGGTGTCTCTCCATGTCCTGTGTCCCTCTGCGCGGCTGCTCCTCTCCTGTCTCCTTTGTGGATGTATAATTACTGCAGAAATGCATAAACTTCCCCTTGACAGAAAATACGCTCTGTTGTCCTTCCCCACGGAGCATGCGCAGTGCTGACTTTGTGTGTGTGTATCATTTTCCCGCGGTTGTGTATAATTCCCCTTTTTCCCGCGCGGGAGAAACCCACCACTAGGGGCAGTGGCGGACACACAAATTTACCAATTTTCTCAGGTTTCTGGATTAAAAAGACTTTTGAGAAAACCACTTTTTAGGCATTAAAAAATGCATAGAAAACGATTTAGAATGTAATTTTTATGAGGACAGCAAATTGTCCTCCTAAACCGGAGGGTCCTCCTTACTCGGAGAAAAGTCTTGAAAATCGGCCTCGTAAACCAGAAAACAAACACACACACACACACACAGCAGCTCCTCCACCGTCCACTGAGAAAAGAGTAGCAGGAAGTCCACATGATTTAGCCTTTAAAGTCCAGGATGAGACCTCTCTGTTTTTTATAGAGCAGAGTTGACACGCTGCGGTGGGAGTTGCAGAAGTGTGAGTCCCGATGAGGAGGCTGAGAAGGAATCCTATGGCGAGCTTGAAATCTAAAGACTCCCGGGAAATCACCGGCCTCAGTATTATCTATGAACTAAAAACAATAGAAATGGTCGCCATCTACTGTCCATTTGAGGAACAAGGACCTGAAGAATAAAAGAGCTTTTTCACAATCGACTTTTCAAAATCAACAATAAAAGTTTGTATCTTTTTAGGCTATTTTTTTTCTATTTAAGCTAATATCAGCCTCTTCTAGAACGGTTTATGATCAATGGCGCATTAGATTGATGACGTGTGACCCCTGCAGCTCACAAAGTACCTAATACATGTTTCTAAACAATCCAAAATGAGTTTAACCCTTTCATGGATACTCCTTGAAGAATTTGTTTGTATTATTATTATCCTCTTAGATGCAGGAGCACTTTTTCTCTTTTTACCCCTCATTTTATAGGTTTTTACGAAATGGTTGAGATGCAGTTTAATGGTAAAACTGCCTAAAACCAAGAGATAGAGACACACCAATGAGGTAGATTTCAGTTCCAAGCTTCAAGTACATACTCCATGGTGACCCAAAAAGTGATCCACAAACTGTTTGAAACAAATATTAAAGGGTTAAGACCTGATGCACGGCTATTAGCTTTGTCTTCAACCCATAAAGCTGTTTTCATCAGGGCTTGTAAAGAATGCCCAGGTGCATGACCCTTTTTAACAGAGGAAGTCATGTGACCCGTAAGTCATGTGACAAACATGAAAACATAACATAAAAATAAAGTAAATAATAATAGATGCTTGTTGGTAAAATAGTACAAAAATATACAATCTTGTTGAAAGACATACACCGACAGTAAACCAAGCTGATTTTGGACCACTTACACTCGAATAGTGCAAGTGGTCAGTGTGGAAGACAATCAATGATGAGGCACTCCATGTGAGCCCTCAGAGGGAAAAAAGAATTGCAGCACATACATTGAAATATGAACAAACCTCAACAATTATGTGTTAGGATTAGGGTTAGAAATAATAATACAATACAATTTATTCTTGTATAGCCCTAAATCACAGCAGAAATCATATCAAAGGACTTAACAAAACCATTGAAATCACCAACACAGATCAGAGAATCAACAGTTAAAACACATGAAGAATATAGAACACATGTTGATAAATGTCATACATGTTGTAGAATGTTAAAGTGTTCTGGATCACCACAGTCCTTCTAGTTGGACACTAACTGCCCAACAGACCCTTCTGCATCGGCAAGGAAAAACTCACAAGAAAACTCAGTGGGAAAAAGTGAGAAACCTCGGGGAGACCCACAGTTTGAGAAAGGGATCCTCTCCCACAGACGGACGGGCTGTAGATCCAGGACCTAAGCTACAAACGTGGACCAGCGCCGCTGAGCGTGGACAGGTCCGGTGCAGGACTGAAGAACTCCCAGGCGGGGCGGGCAGGGCAGTCCGCAGGTGTAGATGGAGGAGGCCAGGCTCAGAGGTCCCGTCATCGTACCATGGAACAGACAATGGGACAACGGGTGAATAGCAATGAACAAACCACAGTCAAAATCCTATTAATGCTAAAAAGATAAAGTAGGAAGGAGGAGAGGATAGTGCTCGTGGACTAAGTAAGTTTTCTTGTTGTGAATGTCAAAATCCCTATTCCTGACCTCCACATATTCTCATTGTCACACAAGCTGCTCAAAGATGAAAACATCAGCCTCTAAATAACTGATAAAACACAGCAAAAAAAAAAAAAAAACAGTCAAACCCTTCAGTTCACCACCCCATGTTTCAATTTGTCTCCTCTACACACAGCGAACACACAGCAACATCCAGAGGGGCCGCAATCGTCATGTAATGCAAATCAAAGCGGCTGTGGAAAATACATTACCCGCCGCACAAATAAAACGTTTATCGCATTTTATTATGGCTCCTAATCCCATCAAATACCAACATATGTCAGTGTGTGCCCCTGTAGTGCCGCTCTCATCATCCCTTTGTCCCGCCTGGCCTTCACGCAGCATCAAACAGATATGTCGCGCCTGTTTGAATACGAGAGAGAGAGTAGAGCTACACAGAGAGATCCAGAGAGAGAGAGAGAGAGAGAGAGAGAGAGGAGAGGTGGGAGACAGGGGGAGGGAGGTAATTGCGCATGTTTGTAAATAATCTCCCTGTCAGCGTGGTAAATAGGAGTTTATTTAACAAGCCTCACATCACAGTCGAGAGCTTCCCCTCCCTCCCTCCCTCCCTCCCCCGCCTCCCTCCCTCCCCCCTCTCCGTGCTTCTCCTCTGCGCTCGTCTAGCAGCAGTCAGACATTAATAATAATAACAATGATAAACATGCAGAGGCGAGATAGGGGCTGCCTGTGTGGATAAGGGGCCCTTGTGCTCAGCCAGCTTACAACGCTTAGCCCCCATTATAGGAGTGAAGCGGTGGAGGGGAGGGGGGGAGGATGGAGGGGGGGGGGGGGTTTAAATAGTGAGAGGCTGTTATTTTGCATGCTGTTATAAAAAAAAGGGAAAAAAATGCTTTGGCTAAAACTATATGTCAAAACCAACACGCGATAGTACGCACAATGTGGGAGACGGGAACTCGGCCCAATTAAACTGCTACGACTGCTGCTCAATCAGGCCTCAGTTTGGACTGTACTGGTCCCCTAGTGGTTCCCGGCTTTAACACGGTTTATTTTTTGCCATTTTTTTTTACAGTGTGTTTCTCATGCGCTGTGTGTAAACTCCAACAGCATCACATACAACAGAATACAACCGCTTGTTTAACATGACAGTTACCTTTATTTAAAGTCAGAGGAAAACTTTTGTGGCTTGTGTGCACAGCGGGGATTCGTTCAAAGTACTGCTGAGGTATCTCTCTTTGGACTATCTCTGGTCTCTCACTGGTCTTTCTCTAGTCTCTCTCTCAGGTCACTTTCTAGCCTCTCTCTCTGGTCTCCCTCTCTCAGGTCACTTTCTGGTCTCTCTCTCTAGTCTGTCTCTGGTCTCTCTGCAGGTCTCTCTCTCTCTGATCTGTCTTTGGTCTCTCTCTGGTCTCTCTCTCAGGTCACTTTCTAGTCTCTCTCTCTGGTCTCCCTCTCTCAGGTAACTTTCTGGTCTCTCTCTAGTCTGTCTCTGGTCTCTCTCTCTGGTCTCTCTCTCTCTGATCTGTCTTTGGTCTCTCTCTGGTCCCTCTCTGGTCTATCTTTCTGGTCTCTCACTGGTCTCTCGTGGGTCACTTTCTGGTCTCTCACTGGTCTCTCTTTGGTCCCTCTCTGGTCTCTCTCTCTGGTCTCTCGCTGGTCTCTTTCTGGTCTCCCCGTAACCCTCAGTCCTGCCCCTCAGCACGGTGTCCTTTGCAGCTATATTTTACAGCATGCACGGCTTTTGACAGCTGCAGCGGCGCTCAGACCTTCAACCAACACGTTTGATATCTCCACGATCGCACTTCAGCCGATGTTCATTCGGTTAGAAACGTTTCTTTAGTGTGCGTGAAGAGTTTTATAACCTTCAATCGTAAACCCAGTGGCAAACAGGGGACAACAGGGGACAGGGATGTG